ACTTAATTCTGTTCAGATGTTAATTTATCAGATTGCTTTTGTGCATCAGGTAACACCACCATTCATAAGTTAAGATTCTTGGTTTTTGGGTGTATGTTAGATGCTACTAAGAAAATAGAGATGAGCTTCCTTTTTAAAGCTTTTGATGTGGTGTCATAGAATAGCATGTTGTAGATACAATCGGCTGCTTTGTTACCTTAAAGCTAAGCATTTGTAAATATTAAAACTTAAGAAGATGACAGGTGATGTCCCTTAAAACACTCAGCTGTTCAGATTGGACATAACTGACATAGTTCTTCCTTTCTCTCTTTAAAAATTCTAGGAGCTCAGTATTGTTTTTCTGTTTCTGATTTGCTGCTCATAATGTATATGGATTTAACATGCTGTGTAAGCTGCGTCCTAGTCACTGAACAGTTGATGCAGTGCTGCTTTGCCAAATAAAGTTAAAAGTGAAAGGCATTGGCGGTGTTTGAACATAGAAGAATCGCGTGTCCACCAGGTACACAATGCCAAGATCACAGAGAAAAAGGTTGTTTCTCTGATGCTCCATTTTGTGAAATCTGAGCAGGTTAAGAGCATTAATCTAACTGTACATTTGTGGAATGTGACTACGTTTCTCAAGGACAAGAACTACACCTCATTTACTATTTTTCTTTGCTTAACACAGGGCCTCTTGTAGATGTACAATAAATGCTGAATGAATGAAAGGATGAATGAATGCACTGACTTAATGTCAAGAAAGAACAGGGTTGAGGATAAATTTACCAAAACCCATCCATTACTTATAAATAGATTTATTAATATAACGACTGTAAAATGAGTTTCTAAGAAGGCAGTAACACGTTGGGATCTTGCTTAGATGTTGTAATTTTATACCTTTATATGAGGATCTTAGTTTTTCTAAGGGTTCTAGAGCTTGAAGAGATGTAAGCTCTAGAGCTAGCAGAACCAGCACTCCCAGCAAAGCCCTTCCCCCTGCTGTGCGCAAGTGTGTGTGATTCTGGCAAACAGATCCCTCGTGAGGGGAGGAGGCACCTCCCCCCACATCTTAAGTTAAAGTCTTAAACATTACTTCTTTGAAAATGGCTTTCGAAAAATTATGCATGCATGTTTTTACCAGTGTCTCTTCTTGGGCAGGGCCTTAGGCACAGGAAACTTGCATTAGTTGGTGGCCAAACCTTGTGAATTCATTGCTGGCTTCAGTTTGCTGTTGTTAGTGTTGCTTCTGGACTCAGGCCATGAACCCTTTTGATCCAGGACTCTGTCATTTGCGGGCGGTAGTTTCAAACATCAGGTATTCTTTAGGACTTTAATTCTTCAACTTATTCACTGGTCTGTATCCTTCCTAGCTATTATCAACATTTTACTCTATGTAAGTCCCTTTGTTAGGCCTTGGGGATAGAAAAAGGCCCTTACTCTCGAGAAGTTTGCAGTCTGGTTGAGGGGACAGTTTATAAATCTGATAAGACAAACCAAGTGGCATCTGATTGGTACAGACAAATGCTATGCCAAGCATTGCTCTTGGACTTTAAACTTTTTGAGTTAAAATTTTTAGGGACTTCCCTGGCGGTCTAGTGGTTGAGACTCCACGCTTCCACTGCAGGGGGCACGGGTTTGACCCCTGGTCAGGGAACTAAGATCCTGCATGCTGTGTGGCGTGGCAAAAAAAAAAAAAAAAATATTTTTTTTAAATGTTGAATAAAGAGGAATGGATTTTAGGGGAGCATCAATAAATGTGTAAAGATGGAAATAATGAATTTTAATTCTATCTATGAACTTTTCTCTTGAAAAGAATTGAATTAATATATGTTTTGGTCAGAGAAGAAACGTCTCTTTAACCTTTAGTATTCATAATTTCTAAAATATTTTAGCATTTCATTTTTCCTTATTAGAAGGACTTCTTTACATAATATCGAGGACAACAATAAAAACATTTTTAAAAGTTCCAGTCTAGCGAGGTCCTGTTGAAACAAGGTGATTTTTACAGATTTCATTTTATTAAAGCCAAATCTAGCTCTCAATTAAGAATTCTATTTTCTAACGAGGGTTTCAACCCTTTCCCAGGTAGTATTTAAAAATGACATTTGGGTTAAAAGTATACATTAACATTATAAAAATACTTTAGATCCCATTGCCCTAATTTTTGAAATCTGCGTTGTTCAAAAAAAAAAGTTGATTACACTTTTTTTTTTTTTTTTTTTTTTTGCGGTACGCGGGCCTCTCACTGTGTCCCCTGCACCGGCAGGCGAATTCTCAACCACTGTGCCACCAGGGAAGCCCGAGGCTTTATCTTTTTAACTGACTTTGTGTTGCTGGGGCCAGGACTCTGAAAAGTGCTCCGTCACCTTAGTGCCTCCGGAGTGCTGTGCTGGGCCGGTGAAACCCTCCCCTCTTCCTCATTCTCTCTTTCCCCCTTTTCCTGTTCTTCTCTTCCCTTTCCTTTCTTGCCTTTCCTTTTTCTTTCCTAACGTTAGATGAAGTTCTATGGCTGCTGGGTCTCAAGAACTCATTCTCACTTGGGTGGAGTGTCCCAGTAGGATGGGCATCACAGAATAACACTTTTGGTCAAAGGGCAGGTGATGGCAATACTGAGGGCACCTTAAGCATAAGAGGCAGCAGTCCAACGGCCTAGGGCAGCCGAGGACATTTGTATTTGAATTCCATGCCCTGAACACTTTTTACTGTGCCCTTTAAAGGACTGCATCACACTGAGTAATTTGTTTGGCCAGCATTGTTTGTTTATTTTAATTTTTAGGTGATTATCCTGTCAGGATTTTGCCTAGAAATTACCTTATGGATCAAAGAGCCTGCAGAATTTCCCTGTTAACACTGCTGTATCAGTTTTAAATCAATAGTAAAAAGGGTTATTTTCTAGGGAAAAAGACGTATGCTGCCACTGTTCAGCATCACGAGAGAGGATGTACAGTAAGTATATCAGCCCAGGAAAAAATCCAAATTCAAAATTCCAAGTATGGTTTCTACTGAATGTATCACTTTTGCACCATCATAAAGTAAAAAAAAATGTAAGTCGAAGCAACGTAAGTCAGGGACCATCTGTACTAGCAGCTATGATTATATTAAAAGGTGTAAAAAAAGGCTTAGGAATATAATAAAATTTATTAAAGAACACTGTACATATAGATATGGGACATCTTTTACCAAGTGTTTCAACACCATGGCAATACTAAATCGTGTTTAGTTTCTTCATGTATAAAAGATGTGCTGAAAGATGCAGGCCTCATCAGTTTTTGTTTTATTGGATGTGGCTACAGGTGACATCCTTCTATAGAAAAACAAACTGCACAGCATCGCATACAGAGTACAGACATCTTAGGTTCATTCACACAGGCATTTCTCTAAACTCCTTAAGGAGAAGTTTAAATCTTTGCTCAATTCTAAAATTCATGCTTGAGTTTCTTAGGAAATAAAAATAACCAATTTCTTTGTTTTCCTAGAACTAAGTAACTATCCATTTGTTAATGTATATCTCTGACCCAAATTAAGTCTTTGCTAAAGGAATAACTTACATCAGGTTCAGTCTAAAAATAGTTTTCTAGAGGGTTTTCAAGTATTTTAAAAGATTTGCCACTTATGGTAAAAAAAAAACAAAAAACATGTGACTAGGAACATCACATTATACATTCCTCTCAGTAGAATAATTTCTAGAATGTGCATAGTCCCAGCATTAAGCAATGGTGGAAATAATAAGCCTTTCAAATCCTACAGATTAAAAGGTAAAAGATGCTAAGCTAGATGCTGGTTTTCTGTAAAGATGAATTTGTGCAAAACTCCCTTATGCTCTGGGAGTACATAAGCCTGGCACTAGCTGTGTGCACATTATAACATTTTAGAGCATTAAATAAATAACGGGAAAACTGCATCACTCCACTGAATGGAAGAACCGCTGATACTTAAACACGTGACATTTTTACAAAAGCTGTACCCAGAAATCCATTCAGTGTTCTGTTTTTCAATTTGAATGCAGTTTTTTTCTTCCATCAACACATACTAATGCTGAAAACCAGTGACTATATAAATGAGCTGCTGTGTTCTGGACCATTGAGCAGTGTTGAGCAGATACAAGAACTAATCATTCTCCTTGCTCATTTTTCCCTCAGCTAGGTTTCTGTTAAAATTTTTGACCTGCCAGGTTCTCTGCTTCCATGACCATGTTAGAGCTATTTGTAATTCAAAGTCTGAGTCGTTCTCCTTCGGGAGAATGAAGCAGCCACATACATGACACGATGTCAGGCATTGGGAAGAACTCATATTCACCTTCCCTAGGCCTTACTGACCTGTTCATTAGGTTTATAACTTAGATATTCCTGCCGTGGATAACATCTCATTGAAGGTGTACACTCACTTGGGCTCCATCCTCAGAAATAGGTTTTGAAGAGGAGAAGAGAAAGGAGAACACTGGAAGCTTAAAGTGAGAAATGGGAGGGCCACAGGACAAGGGAAGTGGGGTGGTATGAAGTGCCAATGGCTGGCTTCTAGGAAGAGTTAACACCGCCTTTCTCAGGAACCTCTAGAGACTCGGAATTTTCTGCCTTGGCTAACAGCAAATTGCTGTTTTTAGGGACAGCTTATGTAAATCAGAATTAGATTTGTAAAAGTCTGTAGTCATATGGACTCCTCTCTGAATTTCAACATATTTCACATACTTCCCAAGGAAAATCAATAACTAAAAACAAAGGTTTAGTATTTGCAGAATCTTCAGGGTTTTCAGTAGTCTTCTTAGTTAAACAGAAGAGGTTAAAAACAAAACAAAACAAAAAACAGAAGAGGTTATAAATATCAGAACCCAAAATATATACAAATTATAAGTGAAACATGTCCTTGCCCTCAGCTATTTAAATTACACTTATTATAGATACATCCCATTTATGAGGTAGTCAGACTCCTCAGATGTAATGGGACGAGCTTTTTTAAGTTTCTGTTTCACCAGCCGTAGTCGACAAGCAACCATGAGAAGCAGCAAAGCAGTGATAGCCAAACCCAGGGCCAGGGGTAGCACTGCACCTGTGCAAAGGTCGGAAATGAACAGGGTAGGTCAGTGGTTAATACCAATAACAGCCACAATCCATTATATGATAAGCACTGTGCATGCACTGTTTTATTTAATCTGAACAACTCAAGTAGGTACTTATAGTACCTCCATCTTGCAGATTAACTGAGGTGCAGAAAGATTGAGTAATTGGCCCAAGAGCACATAGCTTGTAAGTTGCAGGTCTAGGTCTCAAACCAAGAGTTCCTTAAAACCAAACTGTGTACCAGGTTCCTATAAAATTTATAGGCCATCAGTGGGTACAAACGTTGCAGTCAGATTACCCTTATATCCAACTGTAATAGACATTCTGTAAATAGACAACTGTACAGACATTGTGACCACAGGAAATGTCTTCATTGCAGTCACAGCTTACATCTATGGATTCATACATGATCATTCACCATTAAAATAAGTATGGACTAACTCCTGATTTCTTGCTCTGGTTAGGGCTTTAAGAAATTTTTGTTTCCTAAATCCAGAGAACCTACTCTCAGCCAGTAGAACCATTATTGAAAACTTGAGGAAAAAAAATCTCTAGTTCTCCTTCATAGGTTTTCTTCCCTGTGGGATTGATCCTAGACACCTAGACTAGAAGCAGCTTTTAGAGCCTTTCAGGAGTCTGGAAGGAACAGTGTGTACCCCAGATCAGTCTTTCTTATCAAGCTCAGCAGGGTCTATTCTTAGTCTGATCTGCTCTGGAGTCAGGCCAGGCTTGGAGATGATATGGTGGAACTATTTTTAGCTACAGGGGTCTTGCCAACTGGTGGAACGAGAGGAGCAAAAACCTCCATTGCATAAGCTGATTTCATAACATTTTCTTTCATTTATTTATTCATTTTGCATAAATTAACAGTCATGTGCCTGACACTGGTAATCAAAGATAATAAAGAGCGCTTTATAGATGAAGTAATTTAATTCTCACAACCACCATATGAGTTCGTACTTTTATTATCCCCATTTCACAAATGAGGGAACTAAGGCATTGAGAATTAAGTGACTTGACTTCTCTCAGTATGGTAGAGTCAGGATATGGCCCCAGACAGTACTGTTCCAGAACTACTGTGGTATACCACTTCTCCAAAAGTTAAATGAGATTGTTTTTTAATGACTTCAATTCTGGGTAGATAGACATTTACATGCAAAGATACAATAAAGTATTACAGTTACTATGGTAGAATTATATATGAAGTACAGATATAAAAAGGAGTGGTCCAGGTATCTGGTTCCTAGGATCTTTGCTCGAGTGACTTACATGTATGATGGAGCTTGCTTGGGGTGGGTGAGGGAGATGATTATTTTTCGACAGTTTCAAATTGAGATGCCAACAGCCAACCCAGGTAGAATTTTCTCTAGGCTCTTCGATGATTTGGGCCTGAACATGTGGGGACCTTCAGCGTTAAGGTGATGGTTGCAGGGACGAAAGTGGGTGAGACCGCCAGAGAGGAAGGGAGAAGGGGGCCAGGGACAAGGCCCTGGGGAGCAGCAACATTTCAGAGGGCAGACAAAGAGGAGGACCAAGGAGCACAGGAAGAGACAGGTCAGAGAAATGGTCGGCGACCAACGGAGAAGGGAGTCCTGGAAGCAGAGGGACGAGGCTATTTCAAGACGAAAGTGGTCAGCGGAATCAAATCCTAAGGAGAGGTCAAGTGAGGTGAAGCCTGGAGAGGCCGCTGCACTTAGCAACTGGGAATTCATTTACAGGGAGATTGAAGGCTGAGGGATGCTGTTTTGTTTTTTATATGTTTTTAGAGATCTGAATGCATCTAGGGGGATGAACCAGTAGAGATTATAAACACTGGGAGTTAATAAATGATGGAGAAACAGACTTGAGGAGATAAGGAGCTGCATCAAGGTCAGGGGGAGAGACTGACCTTGCAAAGAGGGGACACCTTTTCCTTTAGTGCTGGAGGAAAAGAAGAGAGGGTGGGTACCGACACGTGTTTACATTTGGGGGTAAGTAACTGAGGAAGTTCACTCCTGATAGCTTTGATTTTCTGAGCTTAAAACCAGTCCCAGGTATAGCTGGCCTCCTCTCCAAGACAAGAGGGCCTGGAGCTGAGTACATACTAATGGCATTTCAACCTCTGGTTTATCTGTGGAATCCTACGTGAAACTCCTGAAGAAGATTCTCAGGAACAGTCTGAGAGTTCAGTCTGGGTTCAGGAGGGTGGGATGAGGAAGTTGCATTAGCGACTCTTGGTACAAGACAGTCTTTGGGGCGAGGCCAGTATTCCCGTAGAGAATTATGAAAGATAAAAATCTGTGATAAACCAACAGTCTATAATTTGATTCTAGAGCTGGCACATACATTCCAGTTTCCTAATGGCAACTTTGAGGAAAGAAGTTTTGAAAGGGCTAAGTTTGGACCTGAGGGTGCCAGTTCCCCCTGCATCTTCCTGCACTAGCCACAGAAGAGGGATATGTTACAAAGGAATTGGACAAAAAAAGAGACTTTGGTCAACCCCCAAAGAAACCCTGGGAACCCCAAACCATTTCTTACCAACTGGAACCCAATACCCAGACCCAGTTCTGCTTGTTCAGGGTAGGAGAATGATTAGAGGCTGCCCTTCTAAGTGAGTTCAGCTTGTTGAAAACACCAGCGTTTAGGCTGCAGGGGAAGGGAGCTGTGGCTGAAGACCCCAATCCCAAGTCTGGGGCTCAGAGGTAGCTATGGCAACAATAAAACCGCATACAATCTAGGGGAATCTTCTGTTTGCCAAAGTCAGATGAGGTTGCTGAACTGTCAAATCTGATTCCTGATTAATGCTTTGATGACAAAGAACATGAAGTCTCCCATAAAGTACTTGCTAGGATACTGAAAATTATTCTTGACTTTTAAATACTCAGTTGGCATAGTTTCTTCAGTGTTTTTAGTTTAGGTAATTTGAGATTTAAAATTTCCCAACCCCTTCTAAAACACATCACCATAGTTTTCTTAGAAACCAGCTAAGGGGATGAATTGGGTATTCTGTTCCTAAGACTGGGAGTGACACTCAAATATGTAACAATTAGGACAGGCACCGGGCAATCAGAACTGAGGCTCTCTGGATACATCTGGGCATGGGGGTAAGGGGCAGGCCCAGTTCTCTCTGTATGTCGAAAGGCGATGGGTGTTTTTATTCAAACATCCTGGGACAGGCTAAGTCCAGCAGGCCAGCAGCCTGGGCAGCATCTAGGTACTTGATACCTGGGTTATTTTAGCCATCTATTATTTAAAAATTATACTTGACTATTGTTCAGATATTACAAAGACTACTTCTAGTGTAAAAAAGTTTTCTCAATGTTTAGATCCATAGCTTAATAATCATATTTTGTTCTAAATTTTCTTTTACTAATTAGTTTATGAGATTTAGGATTAAAACTTACCTTTCTACAGGACTATCTTGAAAGTATTTTCTTTCTAGTTAAAAATAACCCAAATTATGAAATTACAGTATTCTTCTTCCACTTACTAAATATCCCCTGTACCACCTACACCCTTTCACCATTCCCGTTGTCTTCCGTCTTTATCACTGGAGCACTTGGAGAGAGAACTGGGTACTCTAAGACCTCTGCCCTTGTTGATCACAAATAACAATCACAATAGCATCATTTATATGGCTTATTGCATGAGCCAAGCGATATGCTACATGCTCTATAATGACCGTTCCATTTATTCTCCCTAACAGCTCTGTGAGGCAGGTATAGTTACTATGTTCATCGACCAATGAGGAAATTGAGATCCAGAGAAAGATAACCTGCCCAAGGTCATCGAGTTAGTGATGGACGAAGGATTTGAACCTTGGCATCTGGTTCTTAACCACTATGTCCTGAGCATCACTCGTTCCACACAATGCTACACCTGGATGGGACTGTAGTGATTATCCAGTCCAATCAACTTATAGAAGAGGAAGCTGAGATCCAAAGATGTGAAGATACTAGTTCAAGAGTCCCAAGATGAAGTATGATATAGGAGATGAGAATATACTAGTTCTTCTGACCCACAGATCCCTGTTCTTATCATGGACTCTTGCAGATTCATCTAATAACCTCAGCTACAAGATATGTGGCTCCGTAAATGTTTCTGCTCTGCAATGAATTTCCAAGGTAAACATTTACCTGCTTCTGGGGCTGGATGTTCCCCTCCTCCTCGATTGCTCTTTGACTCAAAAATATAATTTTCCTCTTTTCTGTGCTTCCCTGAGGAACCACTATCTGTGGAAAATAAATAAAACATATTGAAGGTACATCAGAAACTTCAGGGAACAGACATGAAAACAGATCCTTATTTATTTTTTAAGGATGGACTTAAAGAAAGGACTTACGGGCTTTATTTCTCCAATAAACACAGGCCTATGTTTGATACTAAAACTCGAGATAAATAATGTGACCAACTTAATAAAGCAGAGTGTAAGGCTAGTGAAAAACCACTGGACAGAGATGGGGGGAAAAAGCACACTGTCCCAGAACTTCCTCCCCGACCCAGAGAAGGAAGGAAAGACTTCAGCTAGAGAAGTCAACGGTACTTGGACTTTATACCATGGAATGCAGAAACAGTCCAGAAACGTCTTCCTTTAGAAAATGAACAGTGAGCATACGTAAGGCACTCAGACATGCTACTTCACTTTCTTACCTCAATGCTGCTTGGCAGGCATTAATAGCTGCATTTTTTTCTGGTCAGACTCAGAGAGGTTCAGCGCTTACCCGGGTTCATTCAAGTAGTCAGTGGGTCATAGGGCTGAGATTTAAACTCAGGTGTGTCTAACTGCTTGTTGGTGGAAACCAGCACTTCTGATTTAATGACAGGTTGTTAACTGTTTACCTGTTCTATTCAGTTATACTACTGAGAGCAAATATACAGAAAGATCAAATCTCAGGATTTTTATCTCAGGTTCTGATGAGCCATGGCTGTGTCATTCTACTATTTGCCCATCCAGGAATTTATAGCATTTGTGTGCTTATTATATTGACAGTATGGTAATTAAGGAGTTACCCTCGGGCTGTAGTGTAATTTCAAGTGAGATTTTTGCAAAATATAGTGCTTAATGGAAAGGAACTGGAAATGATCTGCTGACATGAGGAATTTTATGAAGAAACAAACAAAAAAAATTAAAGCTTCTTTACTCATATGGCATCAACAGAAATGTTCATAACACCTGCAACTAAAACAAGACTATTCAAAAGTAGCACCTAGGGCTTCCCTGGTGGCACAGTGGTTGAGAGTCCGCCTGCCGATGCAGGGGATGCGAGTTTGTGCCCTGGTCCCGGAAGATCCCACATGCCGCGGAGCGGCTGGGCCCGTGAGCCATGGCCGCTGAGCCTGCACGTCCGGAGCCTGTACTCCACAACGGGAGAGGCCACAGCAGTGAGAGGCCCGCGTACCGCAAAAAAAAACAAAAACAAAAGTAGCACCTAAAATTCCTTGGTAATTTGTAATAAGAAGTATACATGAATTCACTAAGGATCACAAAATCAACTGCAAAATGGAAAACTGCGGAGTTATTCCAGATACCTACTAGAGCCAGAAAAGGCAATGATTTAAAATGACCATTGTAGTCACGTGTTAATGCTGTTAATCAGAAGGGGCTGTCGATACAGTTATTTCATTACGGCATCCTTAATGCTCCTTCTCACCCAGCCCTTCATCCCTTCGGTCACCACGTCAAGCAGACCTCTTCTCTGCCTCTCGGCCGCACGCAGCCTTAGGTCTCCATCACCTATGCCTCGGGAACTGCAAGAGCCTCCTCCCTGGCCTTTCTGCTTTCAGACATTCCTACTGGAGTGTGTCTGCAGAGGCCACTCATCCCACTCACTCAGCATCAGTGCAGTTAGATCAGCCCATGTTTGCTTCTCGCGGCCAAGGCCATAGCAGGTTCACTGCATTCTACTGTGCCTCTAAAAGACCATGCGTGCCAGCCTAAATACAGCCAATAATTTGGGCTTCCTTCGTAAACTCGAGCCCAACGAGGAGAGAGATGAGTAAGGCATAAGCAATTTCCTGCAGGCTAGAGAACCAGATGTTATCTTTCAAACTGATTTCTACCCTTGTCTTCTTTACTGTAGTGGTGGAAACCCCACTCCGTCCCAAACAGGGAGGGGAGGAAAAAGAAGAGGAACATCCGGGGTGAGACTGTAAAAGAAGACAGTGAGCATCGAGGAGCCAAAGGGGAAAGAGCCAGCCAGGTAACTGCTATTACTGTGGCTGAGCTCCTCAGTCCATGGACGAAAGTGACTGTCCCCTGGGGCTGTGGATACCTGTGTTCCAGTAAGATGGGGACAGGGAATATTGAATCTAGATGATAGGGCTGGTGTAGCACTGGGGCCATAGTAAAGTTAGGCTCTTGTCCACATGGCGAGGTGATTTCAACACCTTTGGATTTTGTGGACCAATGAAAATTCAAAATAATTTTGGGGGCCAATTTAGGGTTGTCAATTTTTAATTTTGCCAAGTAAAGATATTAAAAGAAATGACCATTTACTAAGGCTATCACCTTCACTTCACTGTAAAGTAAGGATATGTCTAAAAGCCCAAATCATGAAGGATTTAATACATAAAAAGGATAGTTCTTTAAACCGAATAAGATTAGCCTTATAAAAAACTCACTACATTGGGCTTACTTTCCTCATTTTGTCACGGGTGGATGAAAACTTTAGCATGGACGGTACTGTTCCTTCTCAACTAGCTTTGGGTACTGAAGTTGCTAAATTCTGTTATTATCCTTTTTGACTCAGCCTGTGCAAGATCCCTTGGTCAAATCTTCAAGGCTCTCCATGTTGCCTTCTCTCCCGGACAAGCACTCACCAGTTTGGGCAGCTGGGGTGCCCTGCTTAAGCAATTTTCATTCCCATTTCCATCTGCTCACGCCATTAATTGAAATCTTGGCTTTCCATTTATTCAGATTATTTCTACCCATACCTTGGAGCATGACTGAATGCCTACATCCATCACAAAGCCAGGGCTGACCTGTCCCCTAGGCACGATGGGCACAGAGCTCAGAGCCCATGGCACTTTTACTTTTAGGGGCTCACAAAAAGGTTTTAATTTCTTTTCCTTTTTTTTTTTTTTTTTTTTTGGCCACGATGAGAGGCTTGCAGTATCTTAGTTCCCTGACCAGGTATTGACCCCAGGCTACAGCAGTGAAAGCACCGAGTCCTAACCACTGGATCACCAGGGAATTCCCTTTAATTTCTTTTAAAATCACAGAAACCAGGAAAGTTCCCTGGTAGTCCAGTGGTTAGGACTCTACACTTTCACTGCCAAGGGCAGTGTGGCCAAAAAAAAAAAGAAAATCACAAAAAACAGGAATATAATAATAATAAATATATAATAGTGAATCCAGCCCATGTCATATTCATCTCTATACCAACACAGTAATTTTACACACACACACACACATACATATATGTGTGTGTGTGTGTATATATATTTATTATTATTATTATTTTTTGTAATGGAGGAAGGGGCCCATGAAGTGCCTAGGGCCCAGAAAGTCATAGTACAGCCCTACAGGTAGCCAATCCAATTACTCCAGTGCTCATGGATCTCTTTCTTCTGTGTTTCTAATGCCCTAACAGAAAGTACATACAAGCAGGGCTCAATGGAGCTGTAGCTGCTTCCTGGCTCTGTAGCTAAGACAGAAGGTCCTCGAGCACACAGCAAGGCTTGCTGCACAAGCTATCCTCCCGCTGGGGATGGTATAAGACTGTTAAGTTAAATCCTGGCTGCATCATTTACTAGCTGTGTGACCTTGTCTGAAGTCTTAAACCCTCTGTGCCTCATTGTCTGCATCTAAAAATGTGGGTAATGATCTGAACACATCATTAGGTTGCTGTAATGACCACAGGAGTGCACAATGATGGGCACTCAGTGAGTACTGTCACCTGTAATAAATTTGAAAGTGGAAAGATCACATGGCTGAGAACTCATGTCTAATTTTTTAAAAATAATGAGCCAGAAATAACAACACCAAAATTTACCAGTTTCCAATTCTTTTCAGAAGATTAACTGGCTTGTCTTTCATCCAGTGGAAAAATATAAAATACAATCATACCCCGAATATATTATGGGTTCAGTTCCAGACTACTACAATAAACTGAGTCACATGAACTTTTTGGTTTCCTAGTCATATAAAAGTTGTTTTTACACTATACTGTAGTCTATTAAGTGTATGAAAGCACATGTCTAAAAAAATCAATGTACATACCTTAATAAAAAATACTTTATTGCTAAAAAATGCTAATCATCACCTGAGCCTTCAGTGAGTCAAAATCTTTTTGCGATAGTAACATCAAGATCACTGGCCATACATACAGATGGCCGAGAGGCACATGAAAAGATGCTCAATATCGTTAATTATTAGAGAAATGCAAATCAAAATTACAATGAGGTACCAACTCACACCAGTCAGAATAGCCAACAAATAACAAATGCTGGAGAGAGTGTGGAAAAAAGGGAACCCTCCTACACTGTTGGTGGGAATGTAAGTTGGTGCAGCCACTATGGAAAACACTATGGAGGATCCTCAGAAAACAAAAAATAGAATTATCATATGATCCAGCAATCCCACTCCTGGGCATATATCCAGACAAAACTACAATTCAAAAAGATACATGCGCCCCTATGCTCAAAGCAGCACTATTCACAGTAGCCAAGACATGGAAGCAACCTATATGTCCATCGACAGATGAATGGATAAAGAAGATGTAGTACGTACATACAATGGAATACTACTCAGCCATAAAAAAGAACAAAATAATGCCATTTGCAGCAACATGGATGCAACTAGAGATTATCACACTAAGTGAAGTAATCAGAAAGAGAAAGACAAATACCATATGATATTAGTTATATGTGGAATCTAAAATATGACACAAACGAACCTGTCTATGAAACAGAAACAGAATCACGGACATAGAGAACAGACTGGTGGTTGACGAGGGGGGAGGGGTTGGGGGAGGGATGGAGTGGGAGGTTGGGGTGAGCACATGTAAGCTTTTATATATATTGATAGAATGGATAAACAACAAGGTCCTACTGTATAGCACAGAGAACAATATTCAATATCCTATGATAAACCATAATGGAAAAGAATATTAAAAAAAGAATGTATATATATGCATAACTGAGTCACTTTGCTATACAGCAGAAGTTAACACAACATTGTAAATCAACTGTACTTCAACTAAAAAAAAGGATCGGACTTCCCTGGTGGCGCAGTGGTGAAGAATCCGCCTGCCAATGCAGGGGACACGGGTTCGAGCCCTGGTCCGGGAAGATCCCACATGCCGTGAAGCAACTAACCCTGTGCGCCACAACTACTGAGCCCATGTGCCACAACTACTGAAGCCCGTGCGCCTACAGCCCGTGCTCCACAACAAGAGAAGCCACTGCAATGAGAAGCCTGCCCACCACAACGAAGAGCAGCCCCCGCTCGCAGCAACTAGAAGAAAGCCCATGCTCAGCAGCAAAGACCCACTGCAGCCAAAAATAAATAAATTTATATTAAAAAAAACAATAAACTAAAAAAAAAAGGATCACTGGTCACAGATCACCATAAATATAATAATAATGACAAAAAAAGTTTGAAATATTGCAAGAGTTACCAGAACGTGACACAGAGACACGAAGTAAGCAAATGCTGTTGGAAAAATGGTACCAATAGACTTACTCAACGCAAAGTTGCCATGAACCATCAATTTGTACAAAATGCTGTATCTGCAAAGTCCAACAAAACGAGGTATGCCTATAACTGCATTCACAATTTCCCCCCTCTGTCTCTTTCCAGTGAAGATGAGAGATCGTTCATCTTAATTCTGGAGAGGAACTCAGGACTGGGACCACCCCTACACTGTTTCCATTTTTGATTTGAACTAACGATCTTATAGGCTTGTAGCTCTCTTGCTACTGGACTTGAATGTTCTAGCAAAAATTCATATAGTGCTAGCAGTTACTGAGAGACATAAATTATATTTACACATAATATCTCATTGTAGTGACACTGTGAGAAGATATTATCCTCTTACAGGTAAGAAAATGAAGTTCAGTGATGTTTATTACCTGGTTGCTAGTAATCAGTGGTACTGGAATTAGAACCCAGGACTGATCCAAAGCAGGAGCTTTTCCACTGAACCATACTGCTCTCAAAGTCACAGCTCTGAGAACTTATAGTCGATACCACATTTATTTACTCATATCTTAGCAAATTAATACTCAAATCTAGGCAAAATCACAAATTTACATTTCCTTAGGAAGGTCTGGGACAAGGCTCTACTAGGGATGCAGTAGAGAAATAGGTCAATTGTTCTTGGAAAGGAGACCTTGCCTTGGAGATGGGTTCATTTAAAAAACTATACAATTCATTTTGAATCTTCAGTTGTCACATTTGAAAAGTATTTTCTTAAATGCCTTCATACCCTGGGGAGAGAAAGCCAGTGATACAGGATCTGGGAGAGATCAGGTATTAGGGAGAGGGCAGTGTACACAGGAGACTTCAGAAGACACAACCATCATGGACTCTAGAATTTCCTAGGGGACTTGCCCTGCCATCTTGGTATTTTAAATGTGAATTTCTGTTTTCTATATTTTTGAAGGAACTGACCATAATTTTCCAGACTGCCTGATTCACTCTTCCTAGACATCAGCATATGGAATGGCACAGAAAAATGCCTCACCTCCATACATCCTATCATAGGCTCTAACCAACGCAGCAGTCAGAACAAAACAAGAAAATTCCATCATTTACTTATGCAAATAATTCATTTTGGTAATGATCCTTTTAGAAGGGTTAGGAAATTATTTTTTCCGTCTTCTGTATCATCTATTGTGTTATGTTTATCATGCATAGCTATGCATTCACAGAGAGAGTTGGAAGCCGGATGCAAGCTATTTTAATTTCATTTTCAGTCACCAAAGAGGCAGGCATGTTCCAAAGGGAAGTTGGAAAACCAGCAGGGAAAGTGGCTACTATATGGGCCTGCCTTCCAGAATGTTCTATAGCTTCCTGTGACCACTGCCAACTAACACAGACCACAGAATTGTCCTTTCTCACTATTCACTGGTAGACCACACTGCATGTCTGCAAGACAGGTAAGAGGAAGCTCTCTTCAGGAAATGCTCTGCATTGTCCTAGGACGAGATCACAGCTAACCAGTGACAGTTGGTCTGCTCATACTGGAAATGTTATTTAGGCCTCATTACAGTCATAAAACTCATTGGCATTCTCTTTGCTTGTTTTCATATTGTTTGTACTAGGCAGCCTTGAAAAAGCCTCTACAGCTTGTCAAAGATTAGTTTAAAGGAGTTCCAAGTTCATTCTTGGAGGCAGGCTAAGAAAACTATCAGTGTTTATGAACATATTTGTATTTGGCTGGAGGGTAATATTTTAATCCTAGCAGAATGCTGGAGGTATTCAACTAACTTCTAGATAAAATAAACCATGTCATTTTGTTTGAAACCAAGTGGTTCCTTGGGACTGACCCAAGTGGGTCAGATGTCACAAAATAGAATTTACTGTATAAACCATCTATAGATCTCAAATAATAAAATTATGTAGTCCCCACTACAGTGACCAAAGCTTTTAGACTGATACCTCGTAGAAGGTAGGAGGTGCCTCTTCCAAGACCAACCTTTCTCTCAGTGCCCCAGAATACTTGGGTGTGCTTAAAGGCATCTGCTGATTATAGCTCATTAGATGACATTGTCCAGACAAGTGAGTAGGTCAACGAAAGAGGACAACTCCCTTCAAAATAAGTTTGTGGAAATAACCATCCGATTATCTTCATTTGTGATAAGTACATTTCCTTTAGCCGGGTTTCCATTCATTTGAGAATCCAGTTGATTCCTGCCACCGTGTTGGAACATAATAGACTCTTCAGCTTAATAGACATCAACACATTCAAAGCACCTTCCCAGAGGTGTTGCTGTATAGTTTCAAAATGGTTTCTCAGTTAGAAGAAAGGTAGTTCAACGGAATGAAAATATGAAATACGGGGCGTGTGAAGAAATCCCTTTAAATATCCTTTGTGAGAATGTCCCCTCTGAATAAAATACTTTCCATAGTAACGCGAAGGCAGAAGTTGCTTGCTCATTACCTCCAGAGATAAGGCGAACAGCGAGGCTTTGGCATATTTGGCATGGGAATCCCAGAAAGTGCAGGCAGAAACCCTCACCTCCATACAGAAGGTTGTGCGTTCTACTAAGTCCATGCCTTAATCCGGATCCTTAAAGAACCTGGCTAACCTGCTGGGCTGAACATGAATTCTCATTTCGAAAACAAAAACAAACAAAAAAGCAGATTCAGTGTGAATGTGGATACACCGCCACTTTTCTAGCACTCTGCAGAGCTGGAAACCAGATTTCTTTCCTTCGGCTGGGTCATATACAAGGGGACAGACAGCCTTGGGAATGGATGACTTGGGCCACGCAGGCAACAGGCCCTGCAACTGCAACCATCTTCAACAGCGCAGCCACTGTGCTACTGCATCCCAAGCAAGCGCAAGCCCCGCTGCGACGCTGTGATCCGCTCCGATGGTTCTAAGAGGACGGAGTGTGTGTTCACTGGTGGAACTGCATATTCGCACACACCCTTAACTTCATCCTTAGTAACATGCCTGGCATAAATTCCCAAGGGCAGGATAACTGGGTCAAGGCATACACACAAAGCTTCAGAAACTGCCCTCTGGAAGACTGTACTAATTTGAATCCCACCAAAAGTATGTGAGACTTGCTTCTCTGTACTCTTTCTTTTAAAGATTTGTTTTTAAAGGTCAAGTCTTATTTATTTATTTATGGCCGTGTTGGGTCTTCGTTGCTGCGCGCGGGCCTTCTCTAGGTGCAGTGAGCAGGGTCCACTCTTCGCTGCAGTGGGCGGGCCTCTCATTGCAGTGGCTTCTTTTGTTGCACAGCATGGGCTCTAGGCGTGCGGGCCTCAGCAGCTGTGGCGCACGGGCTCAGCAGTTGTGGCGCACGGGCCCAGTTGCTCTACAGTGTGTGGGATCCTCCCGGACCAGGGCTCGAACCCGTGTCCCCTGCATTGGCAGGCAGATTCTTAACCACTGCGCCACCAGGGAAGTCCCATACTCTCTTTTTTTTTTTAATATTTATTGGCTGCATCCGGTCTTAGTTGCACACGTGGGATCTTTTATTGCAGCGCATGGGCTCTTCATTGCAGCACATGGGCTCTTCATTGCAGTGCACGGGCTTCTCTCTAGTTGTGGCTCACGGGCTCAGCGGCCCCGCAGCATGTGGGACCTTAGTTCTCTGACCAGGGATCGAACCGGCATCCCCTGCATTGCAAGATGGATTCTTAACCACTGGACCACCAGTATCTCCCTCTCTGTACTCT